GCATTGTCCTGAGCCTCAACAGTATAAATCTTATCAAGATCCTAATTGCATTACTATCTACTGCCCACAACTAGGACACTATGGTACTCCAGGTACTCTGTAAGTATTACAAGTCCCAACAACAATAGCTTCTTAACACTTTCAATAAATACCCCAACTTCATGGCAAATAAAAAAAATACAGCTCATGTCACAAAGGTGTGAGTAAAAAAATTATGTTACACTTGCCCAGAAGGTGTGACCGTGTCCTACCAGAACCTCTGCAGCCAGTATTCAATGTGGAGTTGAGTTGCTGAGTCTGGATCTGAGTGAATTTTGATTGATAAGATCTCAGTTGGAATGTATTTTTTTAGCCAAGTGAGAAGCTGTTATGTAGACATGTTGGAAGCAAAAAGACACTATCATGAGCCCTCCTATGATTATAATGGAAGCTCAGTTCTGCATTTCTGTCTTTCTACATCATATGGACTGGAGAAGGATTCAAGAGGACAATCTGCAGAATGTATAGCCATTTAATAGCTATATCCAAGGTTGAGAGTTAATAAGATGAGTGGACCATCATTAAGACCAATTAGTACATTTTTAGATCAGTCAAGCTATATATAGTAAGTCCGATTGATGACTGTAATAAGCTTCTCATTGTTTTTTTTATCTTGATTGGAGAGATTGATGTGATTACAAGGCTGTGTTGATAGATTCCTATTTATATGTGGATGGCTGATCCAAACTACCGATAAGCTTGACATCGAATCTTGAACAAGTACAACATCCTTTTTTATGTATGTAGGACTGGGCTGACAAACTGGTGAAACAGCTTGGGCCTATTGCCTTATGATATGATGTTGGATATTAGATTCTATGGTTATCAATCTGTCGTTTTTTGGGTATCAGCTACCAGGTTCGAGAGTCGGAAGTTGATTGACAACACTAGCTGATTAGGATGTGTATCGATCGACGGCGAGTGATTTAATTTTGGATGTGTGCGAATCATTTAAATCACTGGCCAAGGCTGGCGTGGTTCTGGGTGTGATTGATGATCTGGGTGAATGGGTGCGAGGTTGCTGTTGCTGGGCATGGGGCGGGGGTGGCGAGGTAGATCAGCGTAGGGGGTCGGACTGATTGTGAGGTGAAGAAGAGCTTGGCGACGGTGTCGGTGTCGGTGTCGGTGTGGGGTGTGTGGGTGGGTGTCGGATGAGATGGTTGCGGTTGATGATTTTGATGGGCTCAGGATTGGTGACACCGCTGGCTGCTCACTCTCAGCCCGACCACTCTCCTTTAAAATACTCCCCTGATTCAAGCACTTCGCCCACCAACCACTCCTCATTCTAACTTTTACGAATAAATAATTTGCTTGTTTAACATTGTTTCTTTTTTGTTATTTTTGTTATTTTTTTTATTTTTTAGCGGTTGCTGTTGTTCAAATTTTCTTTTCAACACAATTAGCACGATGATCACCAACCAACACCCACTATCACTCTCACTACCCTCAACACCGCCTCAGAGGATCTCAGCACTCCAACCACCCCAACAACAACAACAACCTCAACTGCCATCACGGTCAGCCTCCACCTGCTCAGCCTCACTCAGCCAGAAACTACTCACCCCACTCCTCTCAAGATCCAGCTCGCTCCACTCAAAACCTTCCCCATCTCGCTCCAATCACCACTTCTTCTCATCATCATCCTCAAACACCATCTCTCGCTCCACTAGCAGCACCCTATCCTCAATCTCAAACTCCGACTCATCCGCATTCCCACCCACTCCCCCTCAGTCTCACCATGGTACACCCCTCTCTCATGAACGCCTTCGATCTATCAGCAACCTCTCCCAAGCAGATCGTCCAACCCCTCCCAGGAGCAGCTCAAGAAACGATATCTTCGCACTCTCACTACCGCAACCCAGTCTACCCATAACTGCAAACAGCCTCAAACTTGATCATCATCATCATCATCATCATCAGTCCATCAGCAATCATCCTCGTTCCTCTGACGATCAACTCGAGCTCATCAGACTCAAGACCTCACTCACTCTACGTATCAACACCAGTCCATCTTCCCATCTTGGGCGAAGGAACTCATGGTACCGTCCACATCGCACTATGCAACCCCTCATCCCCAACTCAAGAAGAGAAACCCTGGAAATTATGTGCCGCCAAACTATCTGAAGATCTCTCGGGGAGTATCAAGGAGACTCTAGTACTAGAGAGATTAAGAGCCAGAGAAGAGCACCAACCAGGAACTCAGCCAGAAAACGGATCTCGTTTTATCGTAGGCTGGTTCGGCCTCAAGGATCACAAGGAGTGTGATTGGATCAGAACTCCCGAGGAGAATGCGAGACAACGAAAACGTAGTCTGAGTCAAACCTTCCTCCCTCCTATCATCCTCGCACTCGAATACTGTGCTGGTGGGGATCTGTTCAAGTTTGTCCAGAGGGCTGCCAACTTACGCTCACAAGACAACCCACAAGATAAATCACTCGAGCTCGGCAGTCGGAGGTGGCTGCGATGGGCAAAGGAACTAGCAGAAGCATTGGCCTGGTGCAAAGAGCGAAACGTACTCGTAGGCGATCTTAAACCTCAAAACGTTTTGGTGTGTATTATCTTCTCACTATTTGATCTCCCCATCCTAGCAAGTTCAATCTTCCTAATCATCATTCTGATCCTCTCCTCTCAAAATAGTTAACCGGTGACCTGCGCATCAAACTATCAGACTTCAATCGCTCCACAATTTTGTCGGAAGAACAAAGCAAAGGCGGTCTCGGACTGATCGACCCCCAAGGAACTGGTACCTCAGTCTATGCAGCCCCTGAGCTCGTCCAACCCCCGCCCTCACCATGCTCATTCCCTGCTGATATCTTTGCTCTCGGTATCACCATGTACTTCATGCTCACCGGTCGGGAACCATACCGAGGAATTCAGAGTGCAGTCGAACGAATGCTCTTGATCAGTCGCGGTGGTTTTTGGGAACACGAGCTCGGGATGCGATGGCGGATGTTGGAAGACATCCAAATCAGCTGCCAGGCCCTCTTCATCAAAGTACCCCAAAACCCTCTCCAGCTCCACCTCGACTGAACCCCACCAGTCTCAATTACTTTGTCTTCCAGAACACCATTCTAACGCTTCTCTATGGCCTCAGGTCTGACCTTGGAATCAATTCCCCGGGACGCTTTCTCTTGAGGATGAAGAGAACTATCCGCCTCGCGATCCTGAGTCTCGCATAGGATTCTACAGCGATGGAAGTCCAAAGCTTCGTTATCTCAACGGTAACGAAATCGTCAATGAACAAATCATGAAATTGATCTCCAAGATGTGTTCTCCAGCTGCTGTCGACCGACCTCAAATCGACCAAGTAATCCAACAGCTCAACTCACTCTGAGAAATCTCTTCTCCTCCACCCTCCTCCTCCTCCTATCATCGTTTTCTGTTTCACAGAGTAAATACGTATTAGTACATCTTGAGATTAAATCCTATGGCTCCTTTTTGAATTTCGTTTGAATAGCTTTTTAATTACATCTCCTTGCTTAAGCAACTCAATTGGATCGGCTCATCGGTAGGTCTGTATATACATCTAAAGATCGTTCACTCCAGAAAGACTATAATCATCCATCCATCTTCGATTCTGTAACGTTTTCCTCCCTACTTCTCAAGTGAATGTGACCCCATCTGTCATCGATCTATCGTGCTCAACAATCAAATTTTAATATGACAACAAAGGACATAACCCAACAAACCCATGAGAATCAGAGATACATTACGATCGTCTCTTGCCTGCTTGTTGATTTCCTCTTTTCTTCGCTTTTTAATTCGCCTTTTATTCTTTTTATATACTAGATCAATTGACTGTCTGTCATCTAGAGAGGAGATAATCCTTCCTCATTTGCTCCCCAGAGAATAATATGTCATATTGTATTGTAATCTTCTCTATCAAATCATCCACCATCAATCCGTGTTTCTTTTTTTTTCTTCTGATAGTGTGTTGTGTATCAATAGAGACATTTTTTGAGTTGATTGGACTGATTTTTTTTACTGCTGCCTCTTCCCACCTTGATGTAAGTTTGAGGAAATAGAACAAAATTGCATGTTTTCCACTTTTTTAGAGAACAACTCTATTGAACCTCTTTTGGGGAGAAAGAGTACCAAAGTGCTGAAATTTTTCTAGACCTTTGTCAATTGAATATTGACATCAAGTGAAAGGCAGATTGAGGTGTCAATATCCAGCAAAAAGTGCTGAAGGCATATGTATATTGCACTATAATATATATGAGGGCAAGTATTATTGACTTTTGATTTCTCTCTCTCATAATGGCATCATGCCAACTAGAGATACAACGTCTCTTTTACCAACTTTCTGATAAAGGAGGTTGCAGTTGAAGTAGAAAAGGAAGCAATTACCTTAAACAACCCCTGCATACTGGTGCTATATGGAACAGTATAACAATCACATCATAAGCAGCAGAATGACAGTTGAAGCGGGTACTCCAGGCCAGTGGGGTTGAGAATGAGCTGGAAGCCACTGGACCAGTGAAATAGAAAAAAAGCAAGAATTAATTGACTGCAATTACTGGATTGGTAGAGTATGTCTCATGTCAGAAAAAAAATGAGAGCATGTAGGAAAGGTGAGGAAGGAATGGATAGAAAAAATGCTTAATCCAAGAGATGATCATCAGTTTGAAAAACATTGACTGTTATATAGGGTTAGTTTCTTGAGCAAAAAAATTCTTCCCTCCATTGTTGAATAATTCACCAGCTAGCTTTCAGGGTGAACTACAAGCTCATAAATCTCATATAAGTCTCAAGTGTTCAGACTGGACCATGAGGATTTCCAATTGGAATTTGAAGTCAAATGAAGAGAAAGGGTGTAAACAGGTTGTAGACAGAAACCTGAAAGGCAGCACCGGTAGAATCAGTTGCATTATCATGTAGTAGTCTTTCCATCTTTGCCTGATGATGAGCATTTAAGAGCAGAATTTTTTTGTCAGATTGTCTATTCAATTCTATCTTCAATTTAAATATGTTCATCAATACATTGAATATTACAATTTGACAGTTGGAAATGCTTCTTTGTCCACTATTTTGCCTACTCATGATCAAGCTCATCATGAAATAAACGTGTTGGTAAGATGTCAGCTAATCTCATGTTTAACTTGAGGTTTTCATGTCATCTCTTCAGCTTGTATGTACCACTGGCCCCTCTCTGAAAGCATTATGTTGATAAATAAATGATCACTGGATTACAAGGAAAAAGAAAGATTATTTGTGGAAACCTTGGTTGCGGAGTCGCCCCCCCGGGCCCGCCTTCCAAATGTAGCCGGAACCCCCATGGGTGGGCCCCGAAGGCTCGCCAGAAGCTGAAGCGCCTGGCAAAAATGTCTCATCGCAAGCTGGGTGAGTCATTTTAGCCTGTGCGTCTGAGGCATTTTGGCCTTCTGTTACAATCATCTCCCCTCGCTTCTGTCATAAGTTGGAAGTCAAAATATGTTGCCTCCATCGATCAATCCTTCACTTCCTTTCGACCGACCTCCTCAAGGACCAACTTCCAAATTCAAAAAAAACCATCCACGACCCACCAACCTCCATACCTTTCAGTTCACCCATTCGATCACTGTGTACCCCAAGCCCAATCAAACCTAACGTTTCGTCTATGGACTAACCGAGTGCAAAGCGCGATCCCATCTTCAACACCCCACCTATACCGACCTCCTCTTCTTGGCCACATCAAAACGAACACTCACACTTCTAATTTCAGCTATGTGCTTAAATCAACTTACCACCATGAAACATCATCTCGGCGGCATCCTCTTGAAATCAATCCACAATGCTCATCATCCGGGGCGTACGTAAAACGTAACACTGTTTATGAGGTTATCGTTGATTTATCCACTTCCAGTTTCTATGTATCGCAAGAAAATTCAATTTTACCCCGAGGATTCAAGACGTCGAAACAAGAATTTGGACACCACTCATTGATCCGAAAATCAAAGGAATCCTCTTCATAACGGTACCGGTACTACAATATTCCAGTCAATCGCTTGTTTTACTCGTGTTGGTTGGAAATGTTAGTTGAATTCATTCCTCGGGACTTCCGGCCAGCCTTCGCAAGGTGTCGCGCCGCAGCTGAATCCGTGTTGCCCTTCCTCGCACCCCTTTCCGATTCCGTTAAGCGCGCCCTTGGACATGGACATGTATAATTTACGTAAGCCAGAAGATGGTGAGAATTGCCCAATGGCCACCAAACCCGAGTACAAACGGCTAACTTTCCTCTGTATTATTCTGATACAGACAGGTCGGGACACGCGGATGTTGATATCCATGTGTGCCTTGAATCAATTTTTTTTTGTAGAATTTGTCCAACTTTTACACGCTCGGTGGTTCAAGCGAAATTCACATTCAACTGCTTGGTTCCTTTAACAGCCTCGTTTACATGCTACATACATCGGCTCGTCGTTTGATTACTCTCAGCAGGACACATCATCTCAAATTGATTGGAACAGAGGGCGCAATCAAGAGGATTCCACAAGAGCTGTGCAGTCCACAATCAAGATTAACACCGTCCGCGGCACATCAAAGCTCGTGATCTAGATCGGCCTCTTTCGGAGACGTTGGGCCCTGCTACAAGCTCATGCGACTGCTCAGTCACTCCACCAAGAGTTTCACAGCCGAACACTTTCGATTCTATCCACCTATTCGCCATCAAGCGTCTTCGTCCAGTGCCATCCTCTACTGATCACAAACTCATATTTCATTCACAACTCCCTCAAAAGCGCCACTCCTCAGTAATTACATCAATTCTTTCACAGATTTTGCTCAGCCATTCATCCAGCCGCTTACTCTTCTGTTTCTTCCACATATCCACTTCTCAAGACCAATCATCACTTTACATAGCTTGCTCCGTTTCGCACAATGTCGGCTATGAACATGTCCCCTTCCACCGGCGGTCCATACGGTGGCTCCGATGATCCGTCAGTTGAAGACTTTGACCAGTCTGATTTCAGCCCTCTAAATGATACTGTTTGACGCACCATCTGTAGTTGTATCCTTGGTCTTACGAATGGTACCTACCCTAATGGGACTCTCGGTCAAGGAAACTGGATGCCATTTGGTCAGCTCATCAACTCTGATTTACTCCATTACCCTCGACTTGAATAACTCAAGTAGTCAAATATCACAGGGGTCTACATGCCCACTGCCTCAGAAAAGGCACCTTGTCAAACCGCCAACGATCCCTGGGCTCAATCTGCATACTATGGCCATTGGACAACCTATTTCATTCTAGCAGCCCTTGTCGTGGTCTCTATCTCGAATGGTATCAAACGATTGCACAGCCTGAACCGGTCAGTGAAACTTCCCATTAGCATTTTTTCACACTTGTTATAAGCTGACGTTCTTGACTTTTTGTATCCATAGAATTATGGGTTTCCCCAGCGTGGTGCGATTTCACCCCAAGATTTCCGCATTTTTTAGAATGACGAGTTATCCCCAATCCCGATTTTGGGGAGGAGCCATTCCTCCGCTTGGCCCGAGCTTTCTACTCTTTGGATTCCTTTTGTTCAGTACGCTGGTCTGTTTCTTGCGCCGACCGTATTACAGACCACCGAACTATGGCAGCTCACCATTGTAAGAAGCCGAACCCACTACGAATATCCAAAGAAAAGTTGTTTTCCTGAAGTCTTGTCGCAATGCTTTTGCTTTTTTTTTTCGATAGAGGGCTGAGGTCCGAATGGGTTGCAACAGCAATGGTTCCTTGGATGTATGCCGCAGCCAGCAAACGCAACTTCCTTGAGTACTTCTCCGGTGAGCTCATCTCGTTTCCGTCCTAAACCCTTGAGTATGTGTACTAACTCCCAACTTGATCAAATCATTACCTATGTAGGGATAAGTTGGCCACGACTCATGACATTTCACAAGTGGTCCCCCTGGATATGTTTGTACATGTCGATTGTACATACTTGGGCAATGATCATTCGTGCCAATCGGCAAGAGCCATGGTGGTACACAATCCAAACCAACGAAATCTACTGGAATGGATTCCCCCCACTTGCAGCATTAGTGTGGCTCTGTGTGATGAGCTTAGGACCGATCAGGTTTGTTTTCAATCTCATGATCAATTTCAACGGCATCCCTAAGCTCAACTCTTGGATCTAATCGCACAGGAAACGTTTCTACGAGACTTTTTATGTGTTTCACATGCTCTCGGCTGCTGGTCAGTAGTCGAGAATGCTGTTGATTCTTACCTTTGAAGCTGATCACACCTTCTGTATAGTTTTCCTCATTTGGATGTATATTCATCTGGCTGATAAATTAAAATCATGGCAATATAGTTGAGTTTAATCTTATTTCCATCGTATCGTGCGCTGATCAGCTGTTCACTGACGCAAGATTTAACTTTTAGTGCATGCCGCTACTGTGCTTTGGGGAGCAGCTATTCTTTGGCGAACGCTTGCCTACGCCTTTGATCATGGGTGGTTCAGACGAATCCCTCGGGCATCATTCGAAATGCTTCCTTCCTCCGCCATCCGCATCCGCATCCCGATGCCAACTAATCGTACTTGGAGCGCGGGTTCATACGTCTACCTTCGTTTCTTGAGTATCAAGCCATGGGAATCGCACCCGTTTACCATTTCGTCTATCATCGCGTCCACCGATGTAGATGAAAACGGTGATCGTGCCAAATTATCTCAGCTCCATGAGATGGTGTTTATCATTCGACCTCATGGTGGTCTAACGGCTCGACTTGGGAGTTTAGCGGCCTCAGCCCCATCTAGTTTGCACGCATGCTTGGTCGATGGCCCATACGGTGGCTTTATGGACTCGTTGCGTGCTTGTGATATGGTCTTGTTGCTAGCTGGTGGGACTGGGATGACGACGATTGTGCCGATCGCTCAAGCTTTCACTCGCTCGACTGCCGATCCTGGGATCACCTGCTGTCAAACCTGTCAAGTCCATTGGGTGATGCGTGAATCCGAGGCGGCGGAATGGTTTAAAGATCAGTTGGCTGAAATTGGGGCCATCGAGATGTATGTGACCGGGCAGAGTGAGTTCAAGGTGGTGGGACCAGTCAGTCCTACCAAGGAGAATTCAGAGGGAGTGGTCGAGGAGAGAACCCCTAGCTTGGATCCTGGTTTTAAGCACGGTCGGCCTAATCTCCATCAAATCGTACACAAGGCTGCTGAGCAATACTTTGGTCGGATCGGAGTGATGGGTCAGTCCAGTTCATCTGTTGTAAGAGGAAGGCTTTGGTTCACATTCACTGAAGCGCGCATTCGGACCAAATCTTGTAGTTTGTGGACCTACATCGATGTTATTGGATGCGCGCAATGCGGTTGCCGAAGTGGAGGCGGGCATTTTAAAAACTGATCAGGCCATTCGCTGTTCAGAAATTGAATTTTACGAAGAGTCTTTCAACACTTGAACGGTTACAGCTCCATATTCTTTTTTGCGCTCCCGTCTGTTTCATTCTGAATGTTTACGAGTCATCACACACGTGGAATCTCATTTATCACAGTCTACCATACTTAACCCAGCCACAAAACTAGCCAAGCTTTAGTAATACAACCGATGATATTTGCTTTGTAAGATAGCTCTCAGAGAATATAAATGTAAAAAACAAATGGAATTGAAGTGAAGGAGCAAAGTGGGTGCAGTCTGCTGGTGTTGCGAACCGGAGAAAGCGCTGTTTCTGATCTCAGCAGATCCGCATGATGATGACGAGTTCTTGTATTAGACGCTTAATGAAGTGGATGATCTCCAAACAAGATCAACACATTAATCAGAAGGGGGAGGAGATTACATATTTACAAATGAGTTTGCAGATATCTGAAGAATATGATTTGTAGAGTGGTGATCATACATATTTAGATTGTGAGCAAGGGAAATCCGAAAGTTGTGTAAAATGTTAAGGTTTGATGGCTGGTGCTCTTGTCGGTTGAAGATAAGATGATATGGATTTAGAAAGTATCAACTTAGCCCCCTTCCCATCGTCTCACAGCTCACAGCTCACTTCAACATTCTCATCATCACCCTACTACCTCATCATCATCATCATCATCATCATCATGACCAACAACAACAACAACAACAACAACGAGAACAACAAAAACAAAAACAAACAAGAAGAAAGACCAGCCACCCCTCAAAACAAAAACACTCTCTTCATCCCATTCAACTCACCAAGAACACCTCATCCAATCCCACTCTCCCATCCTCCAAGCCCAATACCCAGGGACGATATCATCGAAGGAATGTCAGTCAACCATCTCTCTCTCATCCCAATATACCCACTGACTAAAACATTTCAATCCAGGTCGGCTTCAACCGGTTCAATCTTCGAAAGAGACGTCGAAAACTTCGATGCCAGTCTCACCGCTCAGGAAGCCATCCAGCTGGCCGTACCACCCGTACTAGATGAGGCCATCGAAGCACTAGCCACCGTCTCCCCAGAGAACATCCTAGTCGACCAGATCCCACTCGAATACCATCTCTTCAACTCCACTCTATCAGCTAACTCAACCGATCACACTCAACCATCCTCACCAAACAACAACAACTCAAACAACAACAACAACCCATCTCTACCAGCTAGCTCATCATCATCATCATCTCCTCACAATCAACTCTCTGCAATCTCCTCATCAACTCCAACAGCAGCTCACCATCATCACCAATCTCACTCAGTCCCATCCTACCCATTCCCCTCCTTCAACTCACCTGCCCAACTCAGCCCATCTCCTCCATCCAGTCATCCTCCTCCCCCCTCACCCCCTTCGATCCCCCCTCGTCTACATCATCAAACCTTGAGCTGCACCTCAGACACCGCTTCGATCAGCGATCCTAGCTCCCCCAGAAGTCTCAGTCCAACTCCATCCTTCAAGATCGGTCGATCGATGGTCACCCAACTTGCTACCGATCCCGACTCCTTCCCCACCCTTACAGCTCACAATAATCACCCTCTGATCCCCGCCGAAATCTTATCGACAAACGCTCTCTTGAAGAACGAGCAACCTGCCACTCTGCTCTCACCCGTCCAACCCGTCCAACAGATCCTATTCACCAAGAACGATAACAACAAACCAGACCAGGAGACTCCTCAAACCTTCCGACAACGAAAGACCTGCATCAGCTTTATGAGCTACGTCGATATCCTCAACTCCGAGCGCTCAGATCACTCATCAGACTCAGCAGCAGCCCCATCGAGCTCGGCGATGAATGCCCTAAGGATGGCCAGGAAATCCACCTCATCACTCGTCAAGCGAGCCTCCTCCATCTTCTCTCACTCCTCCCGAGTTCGATCCTCTTCCAAGAAGAATATTAACCTCTTGAGCACCAGTCCTAACGAAAATCTCGGGAAAGCTTGGGTCAATCGTAGTAGGTGTACGAGTAGTAATACCACCTATCACTCCTGTCCAACCCAACGATCTGCATCCGAAATCCAACACAATCCATCGGCTGGACTCGAGACCCCAGAGGCTGAGGCTGAGGCTGAGGTCTTGGGTGAGTTTCATTGGAACTGATCCGCACCAATCATCGATCTGATCTGCCTCTCTTGTGGACTTTCTCTTCTCCCACACACACACACACACACACATTCTCTCTTTCTCTCTGTTTCTCATTCAAAACCTTGTGTCAAGGGATTTTTCAAAAACCATACAAACACACACATACACACACATGTCATCCAAAACAAAATACATCATACACATGTAAATTGAGTTTTTTTTTTTTTTTGCTTCATTTGTTTTCTCTCTAAAAGTCAGTTCAAAACATCCACATATATCATATCTTTTTTTTATTGCTTTCCACCATCATCTCACAGTCTCTCTCATTTGTTACTCATTTCTATCTTTCTCTTTTTTTTTTTGTTCCATTCATTTCACATTTCCTCACAAAAAAAAAAATGATCTATTTCCACCACCAGTTAATTCAAAAGCAGAGTAAACACTCACATCAACACACACATATATGTCTTACCTACACATCTCAATCAAAAATGAAGCCGATTCATTCATACAGGAACTTCTCTCTCTCTCTCTCAGTCTGTTGATTATTGTTATTCTTTTCATATACATATCTGTGTTCAAAATTACTTTGTGGGGTTGACTTGAAAAGTTCAATGTTCCAAAGACTTGTCATCAGCAGACCAAAACCAAGAATTGACAAATTGTTTTGGAAAAATTATAGAACATGTTTGTTGTCTCATAAATGCAAAATTACACTTGATCAGACGAGCACACCATCAATCTGAACATGAATCATGATTTAAATTAGGTTTACTTCATTTTCCTATTCATTCATGAAACCAATTGTCTCCCCAGGTTCTTTATTACCCATTGAAAAAGTAAATTGTAAACAATTTTGGTATGCACTGCAAATGATTTGTTACTTCAAAAGATGATATTCCTACTACCCCAGGTTTGACCTATAGTATGTAAATTGGTTGCTATGTATGCATGAGTATGTATGTATCCACAATCATCACTTCTTTCTGACAACTAAACAAGCATGTAAACTCTCTTGACAAATAATGAGGCTGGAAAGTTCTTGAAGCAGAAATAAGATTATTAATAGATGAAGGATTGAAGGAATGTAATTGGGAGTGAAGAAATAACATGAAGTATAATTTTTTTAGCAAAATTTTGTTTATCTACAGCCTCATTGTGTTTGAGCTCACATCAATAAGCATATTCTAGCCAGAAAAAGAAAAAAGAGAAAAAAAGGAACCCTTGTCATGCCATGGGAGACTTTTAAAGGACTATGAAGGCATTCAAGACTAAGACGGCTGATACATTTGTCATCAACGTCGTGCGTTGTGACGTTTTGGTCTCTCTCGGCTGTTTCCACGCTCTCTTTCCTTGCGCCGTCCACCACCATCATTCCCTTTTTCGGCGCGATCTCTTTCCGTCCCACCTCTACCAGTATGTGAGCTTCGAAGTCGTGAGAGACGGTCAGGCTGATCATTCTTAGAGGTGGGGTTGTTCCCATCCTGGTTTGAAAGAACGCTAGATCTTTGAGTTCCAGTATATCGCGATTCTTCTGGTTTGCTACTTTCTCTGATCGATGACCTCCTACTGCCGTGTCCATCACGCTCGACCCCATCCCCGTCACGCCCATAGCTTTCTTCTTTTTTCCGTTTGGTACCAGATTCCTATTTTACAAAAATGTGTGGCAAGTTTTTTTTTTTTTTTTTTTTTTTTTTCAATCGAGTCAATTACCCTGTACAACAAATACACCACCAAGAAAGGTCGAAAAAAAAAACGTACCTCGTGCTGAACTTTCCCATCATCCATTCGGGAGAGAAGACTGGTTGGCGTGGTGGCTATGTTAGCAACAGCAGTTGAATCACGATCACGATCGTGATCTCGCTTCTTCGGGACCACCCCATCAACATCTATTGGAGCGGCTCGATTTCCATTCGCTGGAATTTCAATGCTTTCTCTTCGATCTTTTCTCGCGTTGTCCTCGTTGGCTTTCTGCAATGCATTGGCAGCCATACCAGCCATACCTCTAATACTAAGATTTTTCTTAGGTTCCACATTCTTGCTACCCTGTGAGGAAAGATGAGGACTCCAAGAATCCCCGGTTTGTCGATGATTGGAAGCCAGAGAGGATTTATTGGGTGTACCGGTAGAGCTAGCATTATCACGAGAGTGTGGCTCGCGAGGAATCTTGTCGGGTGACTGGTTCCTTTGGGCAGTTTCGTGGGGTTTGTAAGAATCGCCACCATCATTACGGCTCCTGGCTTGGTCTTGACCCGAGCCGTTCCTGGTTGGATTTCCATTTAGAAGAGGATGAGTGTTGGTAGGGTCGGCTGAACTGCTAGAATGCTTTGAACGGGGGTGCTCGGGATGGCCCGATGGGAATGAGCTGGCCGGACCAGTCGGAATAGAGCGTAGGGTGCGAGGAGACATGTTAGGTTGCAAAGCACGCGGACCGGATGGTATGGAGCCATCGTAGGCAGGGTTTCCAGACTTGGGGTCAGTGTTATTCCCGTCTCGCGGATTGCGGTCCTCCCCGTTCGCAGAGTGGCCGGGTACAGGATCTTTGCGCGGTTCAGACAGTCCTTGTGATTGTTGGTTAGATCCCTCGCCTACTAGGGAGGGCTCAGAAGAAACGACTTTCCGGCGCTTGATGCCATCATCTGTGACTGCATCGCTGGTCTGCTTGATTTCGCGTTCTTTATCTTTATCTCGATCTTTCTCATGGCGCCTATCATCTCGGTCACGATCTCTACGATGCGATCGTTTTTCTCGGTCACGCTCCCTATCTTTATCACGCTCGTCGCGGCCAGGTTCTTTTTCTTTTTCACGATGCCTAAGATCACGATCCTTTTCCCTATCTTTCCGATCACGGTCTCGATCACGCTCCCGGTCTTTCTCCCTCTCTTTGTCGCGTTCCCTGTCCCGTTCTCTATCTCGATCACGTTCTCGATCTCGATCCCGCTCGCGATGATCACGGTGTCGGTCGGATGGTGAGCGGGATCGCTTTCTTTTTTCACTCCGATCGCTTCTATCTGCACGTTTGTCTTTATCACGACCACTACGAATTGAGCGTATTGACTCAACACTGGGCGGCCTTGTACGTGGTGGCTCTTCGCGAAGTCGCCTGTGGTCTCGCTCATCCCGGCGATCGTATGAGTCCCGCTCATCGCGAGACCGCAGGGATGCGTTTTCATCATTGGGGCGCTTGGGCAGGTCATCTCGTGTGCGGGGACTGGCCGTGGTAGAAGTTGAAACATGAGACGAAGGGTGGCTGGGCAAATGCTGATGGGTGACCGGGTTATTCGGAAGGGGATTGTCTCGCCGTATGTTATCAGCCCTTGGTGCGGAAGGTAAAGCTGGAGGACGCATCAATTCATCCTCGCGGTTGGTTCGAGGCGGACTGTTTGCGGGTCGGGTGGCTTTTGGACCAGATGGTGTCAAGTTCGAGGGCCGTGTTGTGGGCTCAGTTGGGCGAATTTGGGTAGAGGGCACGTAAGGGCGATCAACCGAGTGAACTGGATTGTTACCCGTGTGTCGAGGTGCTTCTTCTTTCTGCTGCCCTGCGAATTTTGTTTGTGATGAATCTGCAGTAGAAACACTTGATGTTGGGTTGGTGGCAGCAAATTTACGCGAGCGCTGGACAGCTGCTCGAGCAAGTGCCTCCCTTTCTGCTGCTTCGGCGGATGGCACAGGTGGGACGCTAGGAAATTGCGGTTTTGACCCATCAGCGCCTAGCGAATGGTGTTCCGGGTCTGCTCCGTTGCGGTATAGTCCATTACCATTAATCTGACGAGAGGGTGCAATCGGAAGCTTTCTGTCATTTTCATGCCGTGGGACTGGCGGCGGAAGTCTTGTCGTGGAGGAGGGCCTCTCTGGAAGACCAGCAGGACGGTTGACAGTAGGAACAGGAGAAGGGACAGGGCGAGAATCTGATAGTGATGTGGGAACAATCGGTTTGGTTGGCGGCAATGGAGTGATCATAGGATTGGAAATCAAAGGAGGAATGATCTTTGGGACCACAGTCAATACCGGGTTCATATCTGTTGGTATAGTTTTGGTGTCAGTGCTGGCAACTGGCGCGGCGGCAGCATCCGGCTTGGTGACGTGGGGAGTGTTGGTTTTGATGACGTTCTTGGCAGCGCGCTTCAGCATTGATTGATATCTGAGAAAAGCCGCGGAAGATCAGTCAGCTGAAACAATAGAACTACTAGACAAGGAGACACACCCATAGACCAGAACCCTAACATCTTCACGTTTTTCGTGCTTGAGAAGTTCAGTAACACATGCTTCTAAACTGGTTGCCTGATCTTCGAAGAGAGGCACCAGACCATCCAATTCTTTCAAAAGAGCGATACTATTGCGAATATACATGTATTCGCCTGATTGAATGGCTTCTCTGCAAACCTGAAAAGATTGGAGTGTCAAATCAGGCTCAATCGTAAGTTGGCAATCTAAATAGATGATATGAGCTCACTGAAGACATGATTGACGTCCACTTCTTGACCACTTTCTGCAAGTTCTCGTAAGACAGCATGTCACTTTCCGCGATCCCCTCGGAAGCATCGCTCTTGACCCACTTCATCCTCAATCCAGGTAAATAGTTTCCTTTTTTGTCTTTGCCAAGGCCCGTCTTCTTGAAGGTGCTTTCGCTATCGTACCAGCTTTTAACTAAGAGCAACAGATCCTTCAAAAACCGACCATAGTTTGAGGCCTCGAATTCACTACACGGAAATATCGACGGGCCCACATCGTAGCTAAAGATGCGGTCAAGGAGCTTCAAAGTCATGAAAGACGCCGTCCCCAGGCTGTGGAGTGTTTTGATGAATTGTGCAGTATATGCGGCATCGACTGGTGAAATTTTAGCACGTGGGTTGAAACAATGTTGGATGATATGTTCGAGGAGCTGAGCCCGGAATGGACTGCGAGCAGATACTACAAAACGATCACTTGTAATTAGGCAAGTTGATAGTGCAACGGAAAGGAACGCACGCTTCACTTACAAGGAAACCAAAATGACTTTTCGGATGCCAAACGGGCTCGGGTGAGTTCATAATGTTTGATGTGAATCTTCATTTCCTTGGTAAGAGTTGCGCGGATTTCCAAAATCTTGGAGCGATTGGCGCGGTTGAGCTCCTTCATCGAAGAAACCATGACAGTAGAGTAATCACGATCAAGATCACTCAGCATCGCGTTGAGGCGATTAGTCTCGGAAATATACCTCTCATCAGGCATCCGAATATCATAAAGTTCAAGTTGCCAGAACGTCACGAAGAAGTGGGGACTTTGAATTCGGGTATTAAAATCAGTAAGATATGAAGGCTACACTGAACATGACATGACCACTAACCCAACAAGTTTGCGAGTCTGCTCGGGCAAAATCTTTTCGGTAAGCGCAACGGTTGGCAGCAAACTGCTGGGATAGTGAGCCTACAAAAATAAATAATCAGCCAAGCGAGCATGAATGTAAGTTGAAAGACCACGACCTACCTGCTCGTTACATTGTTGACTCGTCATGTCAGTTGATCCGGTCTCTTCGACCGATGCTGGCTGGGCAGATTCTGGCTGAGCGGATTCTGTTGATTCGGGCAAGGTTGCAGATGCGAGGTTGGCAGATTCTGTTGATACGGGCAAGGTTGCAGATGCGAGGTTCTCGTCGATAACTACTTCACCATCGACACCTATCTTCAAGGCTGGCCGAACTGATGCAGATAGGACAGGTCTCCAAACCTGGAAAACAATGGCGGGATCATTGCGGCATTGCTCCCACATAAGCTCCATTGAAGGCAAGGCATTTTCGTAGTCAGATATGCTACGAGAAGTCAGTTGGATACGCAAAAACTCAATGTACTGAAACAATACTTGTTGACACTGAGGATACGATTGAAAGGAAGAAAAAAAAAAATCGGATTAGCAAATGACGTTGCGGCGATTTGTTGAATATCAAAGGTCTTACGCTATCCGCTAAGACACCAAGGTACTTCAAATGCGCGCTCTCATCTGCAAGTAGCACAGCGTTTTGCCGCTGCAAGGTGACCAAGACAAGCAACGGCACTGTCAGCCCAGACTCAGTCAAAGCCTTCATCAGTCGATTAGAGCTTTTCGAAAACGATGGTTTCTTGACTGTGAGGCTAGTGGGTGAAATAGCTTCAGCCCTCAAAGTTTTCGACCCACCCAATGCAACTACTTGAGAGGCCGAGAGATCTTGAAGGACATCGACGCCCGCCATCTTACTGATCATATCCCGCAAAATGATGAGATCTTTAGCATTGCCAGTTGCAAGCTGATTGGCAATGTATTGTAAAACGATCGCTGGATCCAAGCTCAAATTCCGCTTGAACACGTTTCCAACAAACTTGGCTAAGTTCTGTAGCCAGGCAGCAATATTCGTTCCATCGGACTTGGATCGATCTTTATCAGGGTTTGAAAGGAATTCGACAATCGAGTAAGTTAAAACGTCGAGGGCGAATAGGTTGAGGTACCTCAGGCATTCGATGACACAAGCAATAAGGTTATCATAAGTCTGAACTTGATTGAGCGCTGCATTGAATACGATACAAGGGTTAGACGAGGCTAGTTTGGCCAGCGCTCGGGATTTTTCCCTGAGGTTGTCCAGCGTCATAGTCTTGAGTACCCGTTTAGTTTCGGCGTCGGCTTTCACTCGTTCAACTTTGAGCTCGGGGATCCGCTGATAGATACGGTCTTTCCATTCACCGTACATCATGTACCTCTCTTCATACGAATACGATTGTAGAACTTTCCAAATAATGTTCGAGGCTGCTACACACCCTTGAGTCATGGATAATCCAGGAAGCAAGAACCATCTCAAGATGTAATTCCATCGCGGGTCGCCACTCGTATGGTTTGATGGCCTTTGAACGGCAGCAGCAGTCAATGTAGCGACTTTGTGAAAGACACCCATGTGCATGTGTCCGAATGGACCCACAAATCGAAGCAAGGGCCAGATGTAATCCAAAAACTCTGAGCTATTTTGGGCTTGGAGTATACGATCCCTCCATGCGGACCAGAAGAAAACCGGCTCTGTCTTGACACTCGTTGCGGCCAAGCTTGCAGCTCGAGGAATTATTCTAGCTGATAGAATTGACTTGGGAATTTCTGGATCGATCAGTAAATGGGAAGGACCGCCAGCGTATCTTTTCTTAGGTCGCGTCAGGTTGGCCTGGGATAGTTTACTGTTTTGCACAGATAGCTCGCATTTTTTGTAGGCCGGATCCAAGGCCACATCGATCAACCTCAATAGCAAGGCTGAAATGTTGGGGTCTTGATGAGCAAGATACTGGTGGTTTGGTATCGATAACATAAAGATAGATTCGTGGAGAGCACCGATTGAGAGCAAAGCAGATAGAAGTCCAGCCTTTTGATTAGGAATGGATTTGGATTTGGCTGATGGAGCAGCTGATCCACCTTCGGGAATTTTACCGGTATTCATCTTGGAGTAAGATCCAATCAGCCCACTGTTATCAAGCGCCCCGGCCATGCTGAGAGCATTTTGGGGTCCAGCGTTTAAAGCTTTGGTCATGACCTCTTGTCGCCAGTTTGACTCGTGTTGCTTGATGGTTTGTAGATCAGGAGAAAGGTGTGGAAGAATATCGCGCAGCTTTACGATCTTGTGCCAGATTAAGACAGCAGTCATCAAGTAGAGCTCGTCGGGGGTTGAATCAGCCGTATCACTCTGCTGATAATGTGTGAATTTGAATCCCAGTAACGATGCGATGAGCCTCGAGCCCTGTTCGGAGGGCAAAGTGCCATCTGCAGGGAGAATTCGCTCGTCGTCGACTGTCGAATTGCAACCAATAGTTTGCATCCAATGGCTTTTCTTCAAGAGCGAGCAGAAAAAGGGATGGTGTGAAATGACGTTATAGCAGAAGACATCGAGGATTATGTCTAGTGTGCGATTGGGATCAAGATCGAAAAATCCAATCATGGCTTTGATGTTGTTTGAAACTTTTTCAATTCTTGAATCTCTGATTTGTGGTGTTTCACCAGGTAGTAAAATCGACCGAAGGTGTGGATAACTTGTCGAATCGCCTTGACTTGAATCAGCGGATATCAGGTGTGAGACGAGACCGGGACCCATAGCTGATATTAATTCAGTGGCGAGATGAGAGTAACCCTCAGACTCTTCACGAAGCAGATTGAAGCGCTGTTGTTTGTAACTGAGATCCAGATTTCAAGTACAAAATTTGTCAGCACTTGACATTCTGGTCTGAAATGGAGAAAACTTACTGAAGGACCGTATTGATACGAGTGGCCTGTTTAGCAATCAATTCAGCGGGGAAGGGAATCAAGCCAGTGTCGTATAGAAATCCGTATTCCCAGCTAAGGCGACAATGCGCGGGCTGAAGAGCAACAAAGCTCCTCTCATCAATCTGAAGGAGAGCGATCGCCAGCTGAATCAATGTCTTGCGTGATCGAGACAGAGATTCAAGCTTAATCCTTCTTGACGTGAGGTGGACATTAGGTTGTGGTGCATCGTTTGGGTTATCGAGATCAGTCAAGTCAGTGGCAATTTGAGCAGATTTCGTATCCAAGGCCTTGATTTGTTCTTCTAAGCTACTGTGTTGGACATCAATCTCAGATTCAATTGACCAAATAGTGTCTGCCAGTAACTCGGAGACGCGTGCATTGATTTGTTCATCTGCAAGTGGAGAGATTGATTCACTCAGAAACGTTTGAAGATCCGCTGGAGTTAAAGATGGCAATGCTGGCTTTTTAGCATAAGGAAGTGCGCTTTTCACTAAAACAGAGAAGAACTGAGCAAGTTGCAAGTCCGGGTCGTCTGAAGTATCTGAGCTCCGACCGTCTGTATAGCATGAATCTTTGAGCAGCGCGACTAATTGGGATGATCTGGATGAAGGCAAGATGGTTGAAGAATGGGGTAACCAGAAGAAACAAGAGTTTTAAGGTCAGTAGCGTGACTTATTGAATCGACCATCATCGGCTTTGAAAAAGTCGGCAAGCGAAGGGGAAATAGGGAAGAGAGGGTCTGGGGCGATGCCATAACGATTCGATGGTTGTCAACCATTTCCAAAGATAAAAAGTTGGACTGGCAAAATCCTACGAGGTCGGAAGAGAACGAAGAGCGAGTTGAGGCTAAATCAGTTTACGTCAACAGATTGATTACTCCAGCTGAGAGATTTTCATCTTTTGAATCAAACAACGATAGACATACCAGGTGGACTGATCTGACGCGCCCAAGATCAGAATTGGTGGAGGCTCTCCTCTGCAAATGATGTAGGTGTGGAGACCGTTGATGGTGGTGGTGATGCAGATACCGATGATGGAATTGACAAGAGGGTAGGTAAATGGAGGTAGTAGGACCCACAGCCGTTGCTTAAGATTATTATCTTTCCAATTTGATAGGGATTTCGAGACGAGTGAGTAGATGTCGGAGCCAAAGGAAATCGGGTGCATGGAGATCCATGATCGAATGATGCTAGACTTCGAGTTGACAGGGTCCTGCTTAAGGTAGAGCCGGGTAAATCGCGAGTGAGTCGAGTTCAATTTTTGACGGGAAACCAGCTCGATCGAATGACCATCCTATGTGAGGGTTGGGAGAAATGATACGAA